AAGAAATAGAACCACATGTCTAAAAATGCGGTAAGCTGGAAGATACAAAAAACTGGCTCTACAGTTCACACGAGTTACCCTGTCTCATCTCTCAAGTGCTGCTTTTGCTGCACTAGACATAGAGGTGTTCAACGCTTCCTTCAGACATACAAATTCAGCTTACTGATTTCTTTTGTCAGCACAATATTTTATATTGTAACCAAATTAGCACATTGTACTTCAAGCAACCCTGTCATCTTCAAAAATTAAGCAGTTATCTGTACCTGGGCAAAATCATTTTACAGATGTCCGTGTCATTGTCTAGTTCCAGCAATCATACAGGGAATTATCCTCCCTACACAAAATCCATGAGTCTCTTCTTAGTATCTGAATAATTTCAAGATCAAGTTTCTCTACCAGGAAGGAGAGTTCTTTATTTAAGGTGACTCGAAACATACTGGAAACAATGGTTTTGACTCTTTTTCATAAAATGTTAATTCAAAATGCTAGTAATTTTAGATTTTATGAAAATCTCTGTAAGATGTTAAGAACTTGAAACATAATAGTGGTGCAAACAGTTATGAAACTCTTTTGTTTATTATGCATCGTTTCCTCACCGCAATAATGCTGTTGTTCACTGTTGTATAATTTATCTTAGTGCCACTTTAATTGTGTTTTCAGTATTCACGGGAAAGCATCCTATTTGGGATAATTACTCACTTTGGAGATGATCAGCAATTTGGTTCATGAGCACCTCTGAAAATTGCCCTATCTACAGAAGGCATTTTCCCGCAAGTGCAACATACTGGGTTTGCAAGAGGGGCATTTTGTCTTTTCTCTTTTCCTTTTCTCTCCTTTCCTGTCCCCAAAATACATTTGATAATTGCTCTAGGACATGCCAATTTTCTTACCACTCTTCATCAGTTATTTCTAGACATATAGTCTCTCTGTGTTTTCTTTGTAACTGTGCCCTTATCATAAGTTGCCCTAAAATTCTCTTCTTATTTTAAGGTGCTTCCTTAACATTTCAGTTTATGTAAGGCAGGTAAGCAAAAATTCAGCTGGATCTCTTGGCAACTTGGGTGTCCACAGGGAAACATGCATTTCAGTATAAATATCCATTATGAAATCATCATCAAGATTTACGTTTCTGTATTTAATCACATTTGCATTGAGCATGCAATCATCAATCAATTTAAAAATAAAGTAATACTTGTAAAAATACCATGGAGATGTTTCTTGACAAACAAGTTCAGTCCCCGCAAGTTTACAGATCCTCAGTTCTTGTAAACTGACATAAATGCAGTGATGATAGCTTAAAATGCTTCACCTGCCAGAGCCCAGTTTTGCCACTTTTATTCATAAAGGTTGATAGGCTACTGTATAAACAATGTCGCTGAACGAAACATGTCAGTAAGATGGGGGAAAATTAATTCTTGCTGTCTTTTTGCTAAATTCACAGGTAGTAGAACTTTGTAGGAGAAAAGCTGCATATAACAGTACAGTTGTGAAAGCTGGAGGCTATTGTATGGCAGATAAAAGATCGAGAACTTAGAAATCCACTTAGATTTTGAGCATGGTATCCCAAAAGATCTAAGGTATTAATCAAACATGTATGTACTATTAGGTAGTATTTTCCTTTCTTTTCCCCTCAGATTTTTCCAGAAAGTCTTTTCAGTCACCGAGTTGTATTTTAATTGCTCTGAGTACCTATTGAAGGTGATTTCCGCACTTTTGGAATAACTGCCCTGACAGAATGATTATTTTACTTCTTGATGTTGCACCTCTTGGTTGTTCACACAGGATAATAGCCACTGCAGTTTACTCCTAGTCTTATTTGTAAAACTTATTTTGCATGAAAATGTGTTCGTTTTCTGCCAGCATATTTGTTATGCATGTGATATTATCCAGAAATCATGTTTTCTAATTTCCTAGTCTAAGTATAGCCACTAAACTCCATGTCAGGCTTCCCCAATGGTAAACAGCACACTCTAAAGAAAACTGCTATTAGCCAAAGAAATGGCAAATACTAGAGCTGTGTTGTTTGATTAGTGTTTTACAGTGCTTTGAAATGCTCATCTTTTGGTTCACAATGTATGATCATAAACACAAGGAGTCATACAGAGGGCAGAAAAGCTGAGCACTTTTCCCACACCTTTCTAATCTCTGTTTGCATGACCTCAGTGTGATATGCTGCCCTGGTTCACTATAATATACTTTTAACAGATCTTTCTTCCATGACAAATGACTTTTTCTGTTTCATAAGCAGCAGAAGCAATGAAGCCCTGCATACTTCTTACTTTCTCCCCTCCTCTCCCTCCCTCCACTGCATGGTCTTAGGAGGGGTAGATATACCTTTTATGTGGTGGATGTGACAAGAGTACTTAGAGCCACACGTCTACCAACACACAAACCAGGGGCTGCCTCTTCTTTCAGTGACATTTCTGCATTTTACCATAGCACTACAAGAATGTAATTATCTTCTAGATATATATCCATCTTCTGTTCTATATCCATTGCTTCAGAGAGGGAAAGAGCATGTCCCTTTTCTCCTTGAGAAGCTAGACTAAAACCAGATTTCTTCAAGTCCTGTAGCAGTATGGCATGGACAGCCTGCGTGGTGGGCTCTGTTGACTGCTGCAGACAAGTAACTAGGCAGATTTCTCGGGACACGGAATCCTGTTTGTAAGTGAAGCACTCTCATGCCTTCTCAAAGAAGCAAGAACTGGCCACTGGTGAAATTCTCATCATATTTACTATTTAAAACCAGTAAGACTGGGATAGTAGCATTCCTTGTTATGCTTCATTCTTGTGAAGGAAGAGCCCTCCCACTCGCTTCCATATTGTGTCTCGGTGGGGCATCTGCTTTACGTGGATTTCAATCTTTGCATCCACACTTCTCAAAGTACTTTTCTACTGCTTTTGGCCCTTAATTAAAGCAGGTTATAACAGATGTTAAAGTCTGAGCACAACTTATTTCATTTTATTTATTAATACTATTTTGATTTTTCTTTATTTAGTCCACTTTTGCTGGATGGTAATGCTTCAAATGCAATAGAAAAAAAAGATTAATTTGGCATCCTACCCACTTCATAATGAGGGTTTCTTACTTTTTGCCCATTAAGATTTCTATTTCTTTTTCTATTAAGGTTTTTATCTAATATTTGCTTTCATCATCTTTCCGTATTAATCTCTTAATGATGTCTATTTCTGTAGCTGGGTAGTGGGGCTGACGGACTCTTTCTACCTGGGAAAACTCCTTCAACAAAATACTTCCTTCTGCTGTGCTTTCTTGAACCTGCTCTAGAGGCTCCAGCCAAGTTTCTGCTATTAGGCACCTCTTCTGACACTCAAGAGTGGAATGGCTCCTAAATAGAAACCCAGTTCTCACCTAAAAGGCTTTGCCAATGATGCCATATTTTGGATTTCCAAAACCATATGAGGAATAATGGTTCCACTCCCATTTATACACACTCAAAAATGAATCTATTAATTTTATACTAGGTTACAAAAACCTTCAGGTTCAAGAGCAGGGCCATGTGGTCTGTAGCTGAGCAATAAGGTTCTGATTTATGTGATGTGGATTAACCAACCAGCAGCACAAAGCTCTCGCTTTCCCCTCTGCCAGCATTTTCTGCACGTGTTCCCAAGCGTCCTAAACCATCATCTTCCAGTTTTATTATCCATCTTGTCAATCCAAGCAAGATCTGACTACATAACTTCTTCCTCCTGTATTTCATGATTCTGTAAGACTACTGTGCAGCGTAAGTCAAGCTGGGATACCAACCATGTAATTTGCACTAGCTTTCAGAACAGGCACCCCTTGTCTCCCTCCTCCTCCCCAAATCCCAAATTGTCTGGGGGAAAAAAAAAAACTAAAAATTAGTAGGGATGTGTTAATTTGGATTAATCTTTTATTAACTACTACCATTGCTGCTTCACATTAAAATAAATCCACTTCAATCTCCTTCCTTTATCATACAGATGTAAGGTCAGAAATTCATAGAAGCTTCTTTGGAGATTACAGCTTCATAAACACTCCCTCAATCCCCCGCAAAAAAAGTCCCTCTTCAAAGTCGAGCTAGACATACCCCCAACTCTTTATCACGGGCTTGTTTCTTTTTTTTTTGTTGTTGTTGTTTGTTTGTTTGTTTTAAAGTTTTTTTTTTTTTGGTTTAGGTGGGGTTTTTTTTGCTTGTGTGTGTGTGTGTGTTTCGTTCTGGGGGGGGGGGGTGTTTAGTTTTTGTTTTTTCCTCACGAAGCAAGATGTTCGGTGAGACGGCACCGAGGCATCGAAAAGGTAAGTAATTTATTTTTTGACGGTTTTATTTCACCATCGTAAAAAGCAGAAGTATTCTTCCCCTCTGTGCTAACAGCAAACGTAAAAACTACCCAATCCCCGAGTTTCCAGACATCCAAACCAATAGGTACATGCCCAACGTGGCCAGTTACAGACGCACCCGCTTCCACCGACGTTGCGGTATTGTACCAACGAGGGAGGCGCGGGGCAACGTTAGGGCCGCGCGTGCAGCCCCCGCGCAACCTCCGCCCCTGCGCTCCGTTCCGCTCTGCTCCGCTCAAGCGCACCGGTGCCTTGCGGCAGGGGGCGGCAGGGGGCGACAGCCCCCTCGATGTGCCCCGCTGGCGCTCACGGCCGAAGAGCCGCTCTCGGCTCTCCGTGCCCTGGAGAGCTGTGGCTTCCCGGTAGGATTCTCCCATCCATCCAACTCTCCCTTTAGACTGTCTCCCCTCAGGCGACGGTGAGGGAAAACAGGCTCCGAAGGGCCGCGGTGGCGTGGGAGGGGAATTGTCTCTTCCCCCCGATCCCCCCGGGTGCTGGCAGCGGGCGGGGATTGACAGATGGACGAATGCAGGGACATTTCGAGCCCGCTGCCGCCTTTCAGCGCAGCGGAGGAATCCATCGGCACTACGCTCTCTCCACGGTTGCGGTTCGCTCCTGCGTGCGGCGCGGAGGGATACGCGTAGTCCTCCGTGTGCCCGCCCCCTGCGCGGCGGTCGCTGCCTCCCAGATATAGTGCGGCACGGGGAGGAGGTGGCAGGCAGTTGGTGAGGTGCGCTCCGCGGGTGCGGAGTGGCTGCGTGGACGGCAGCGGGGGTTTGCCTGATCTGGTTGAGCACCTCTAACTTGGAACTGTCCACCGGTGCGAGCTGCTGAACATGAGTCTTCTGCCTCTCTACCTGCTCGGATTGCTCCTCAGTAGCGGGCAAGGTAGGAGCGGGGCTACCTGGTTTTGTTTTTAATTATTATTCTTGCCTATACAGTCCGCTCGCTCAAATTAACATAGAACCAGTAAAAAAATGGAGAAAAAATAAAGCAGTGTTTGACCCTGGCGCCGAATTAAAAGGGGTGTAAAACTTGCTTCATAGCTTCCCCCTTCACCTTCCCTCTTTTTTTTTTTAAGTCTTCAAGAGGTATCATTTATGAGGGAAAAACCTCAAAACGCAAGCTAGAAGGTGCTAAGTGCACTTGGCTGCTTTGCATGGGGGTTTCGTCTTTTTCGGGGGCGGTAAATCTGGGAAGGAGATGAAACGATTTAAAATATATATCTGTCAGGGATCGTGCTTTAAAATACGCTTCTGCCTAAGGGGAAGGCAGCGTGGGCTTCGCTTTTAGAGCCGGAGAGAAGTGCTGTCGGCGGAGGCAGCCTTCCGACCTGAATTAAGTCTGCCTGGCGGGGTTGGTGTCTCCTTTTCCGAAGCCCGTTCCTCTCGCTCTGCGGGGGACACAGAGTCCGCCGGCCCGGGGGATTGGGGTTGGTGGCGGTGGCACCGGCACAACCACGGACGTCTGCGAGGAAGCAGAGTTTGTGAGATGAATTAGCGCGGCGAGGGCAGGTGTGTGCGGAGACGGGCGCGCTGAGGTTACGCCTCTGGGCGCGGTTCTGCTTTTGCATATGAATGTGCCTGTGTACGGGAGTACATACAGCGCTTCCTAAAATACGGGGGCTGTGCCGTAGCTGATATATTTTGTTCGTGGCTTTTTTGGGGTGTGTTTGTGCTAAGAAATATTTATTTAATTATTCTGGATGTCGTCGGTGTGGTCACTTCAGGATTTCTGCTACTTCAGGGAATGGGGCGGGGAAGGGCTTCCGAGCGCGGCGTGGCTCGGCGCGGGTGCCCCAGGGTGAGCGATAACCGCTGGGACAAGTTTCTGCCGCTTGTTCGTAGCGGGACCGTGCTCTCAGTGCCTCTTGCGTGGCGCCAGCCCGCCGTGAGGCGCCCAAGGCGCTGCGCTGCCCGCACCTGAGGGGCTGTTTGGGGCGGTTTTATGGGAGGGGAAAAAAAAACCCAATCCTCCAACCCCCCCGGGAGGGAGCGGCGGGGACCGTCCCTCGGCCCCTGGTGCAGCTGCCTTACAGCAGGGGGCGGCAGAGCTCCACCGCGGCCGCCCGTGCGCGGGCAGTGCCCCGCGCCGGGACGGGCGGCGGGCGCCGGAGTCGGGCAGGCGACGGGAGCCGCGAGTACCCCCGCTTCTGGGCGCCAGAGCTGGATGCCGCGCCCCGAGCCTCCGCCGGGTCATGTATGGGAGAAGCGAGATCTGTTGCACTTGAGAAAAGGGGCGGGTGAGGGGGGTTATTATGTCTGGAGGTATTAAGACCACAGCTCTGAAGGTCTTCTTCAGTGCAGTTATCGCTGGGCCTTGATACTACACAGACGTTTTCTCTCGTTGATAAGAAGCAAAGAGCCACCAGATGCTCTCAATTTATATAGAAATGCTTCTCTGTGTTTGACACCTCAGGTTGAGCTCTGGAGGTCTCCTGATTAGCAGCGATTCAGAAACAGTCCGGAGGTTTTTCAACATAGCCAGTATGAGGACGGCAAAGAAAGAGTAGAACTGGAAAGCCTCCTTTGCATTGATCTACCTAGGTGTAATGTGTGTAGAGATGTGGTGCCTATAATGGAGGAACGGTAGCAAGCTAGTTTTTGAAGTGTGATTACTGCAGCGTGGGAGGATTACATACATAGTTTTGGTGTTTTACTATCAGAGGTGTCAGGAAATAAATAATGAAGTGAAATGCTAAATGCTACCAAGCTGAGATTTCAAAAAATATAGGGGGATAGCTATGGAGGTAGATGGAAAGAAGGTGAGAAAAGCTGAATATGTCTAATATTGATCATAATTTATATTAGACTAAATTTTGAAAAAGCATCTATTTTTTTTTTTCCAAATAAAGGAAGTGTGTTGTGTTGGTGAGGGGAAGAGTAAGGTTTTTGAACTGGCTGCAGAAATAACAGGAACATGCTGCCTCAGTCTGCAGAAGGGGATAGTAAATGGGAGCAGAAAAAAAATCTGCATCTGGAAACTTGCCATTCAGGGTGCCGTGGGAGAAGGAAATTCTTCAGTGCTGCTTTTTTTTTTTTATTTTCTTCTTTTATTTTAAGAAGCATCACTGTGGTGAGGGATTTATTGTGCATCTTTTATTTTCTTTTTGGCACCTCCTTTAAGTAATTGACAATTTCTTGAAGTGATTAAAAGAATTTGAAAGGCTATTCCAAAAGCTCTTGGGATTTATCTTTTGGGAATGCAGTGGTGGGGAACATATCATCAACTAAAGGTTCTGGTGCTTGGGGGGGTCGTTTGTTTGTTTTTAAGACGCCCAGTGTTATCTGATTGTTAAATAATGATTATAAGTTTTTTGATGTTGATAGAGGGGAGTGTGGATGGTTAAGAAAAAGTAAATAACTAGATTTGGATTGTTTGCTTTGGAGATATTAAAGTCTTAGGTTAAGGATTTATATTTCTAAGAATACAGCTGCAGTAGATTTTGTGAAGAGTGACTGATTTTTTTGTTCTTTGGGAAGTAGTGGTGTTAAAAGACTGTGAAGAGGGACCTTCAGTGTGTTTATTCTGTTCTAGAAAATCAGAAGTTTGAAAATCAGTAGCAGACAGCAGACCCTTCCCCCAGCTGCATAAAGTTAAGAGCTTGAGTGTCATAATTATTTTCCATGGCTGGGTATTCTCTCTACTAATTTCATCACAAGGGGAGAGGTTTAACTGGCAGTGTTGTTATGGTAAAACAAAAGGATTGGTTTCTTTTGTTAACCTTTGAAAGCTGTACAGAAAATTCATCCAGACTAAAAGGCCCAGATTTAATTAGCTTTGCTTTAATAAAAAAGTGAAACAAAACACACCCCTACACTCCCAACAAAATAGTCTACTCCACTCTGTAAACCTGCTTTTTAACATATGTAGTGATGGAAGACGAAACTTCATTGTTTTTTACCAGTGTCTGGGGAGACCGACTTAAAGTGGATAAAATGGACATCTTTCCAGATTGCAAAATCCTATTTCTTTTATCATAGTATGCATTTCTTGAGGTTAGCAAAATTTTAAGGTGCAGTAGAAAATGTCTTGCTGTAGAATTTAATCTATTTTGTGCTCATCCAGGAATTTCATAGGAGTGAGTACTTACTCAGTCATTGTGCTGTAAGTTTCCTCTTTGCACTGCATTGATACTGAGTTTTTTTTTGTTATTTTTTTCCTGAAGAGTTCCTCTTTACAAGTGCTTATAAGGGACTGTTTGTTAATAAGGAACACCCCCAGAAAGAGATGCCAGCATGTGCATCTTATTCACACAGTCACTTTCTAGAAGCCTGCTTCTTTATGCTTTTTGTGTGGGGAGTCCTGGAAATTCTGAATTTCTTAAATCAATCAGTTTGTCTACTGGATTAAGTGGAACTAATAATTTACTCCAGTTGTATACCAGAATCTGAAACATATTGTGGGACTTCAGTTTAACCACTGTTTTCTAATACAAGTTGGTTTATACAACTGTATTAAGATTAAAATACATTTAAAATACATCTAATCTCTTCTCCTTTTCACCATTCAAAAGAGAAGGAAAAAAAAAGAAGTAATGTTTGATTTGCTTTTTGATGTGCTTCAGGTGAGGATGAGAATCAAAATCTTCCTGAAAAAAAACCTTGACTGATGAGGGGTTGTAAAAGGTTTGCTTAAGAATAGATGGTTGAGAAATGTATAGAGTTTTGTTTCATGCACCCCTGTACAAAATGGAGTTAGAAATATTTTTGTTTGAAGTAGCTCTACATTGTGAAATATATGAAAAACAAAGTCATAGAGATAAAGCTTGAAAGTCTAAGGTACTGAATAGCATAATTTTGACTTTGTCTTCTCTTAAAGCATAGGTAATATGTTTATTTAGGTAACTATTTTTATCTATGGGAGTGTTATTGGAGTGTTAGGACTGATTTGTGTACGTTCTCTGTTTCATGGCCACCTTCAGTAGTGTTTTGGGAACAAATGTTGTATTTCTTTGCCCTTTCATTGACCTTTTTCTTGGGGGCAGCTTTCCCAAGTGATTAATGTTTACTTACTGATGTTCTTCCAATTTACTCCAGTAATCTGCCTGTTGCCTTTAGCACATGTCATTTGAGTTCTCAGTAAAGGAAAGATATGGACCTGTCGGAGGCGGTCCAGGCGAGTGCCACAGAATGATTAGAGGGATGGAGCACTTCTCCTGCGAGGAGAGGCTGAGAAAGCTGGGCTCTGGGGAGACCTTATTGTGACCTTTCAGTCCTTAAAAGGAGACAGTGAGAAAGATGGGGAGAGACTTTTTAATAAGGCCTATTGCAATAGGATGAGGGGTGATGGGCTTAAACTAAAAGAGGGGAGATTCAGGCTGGAGACAGGGAAAAAATTCTTCACAATGAGGATTGTAAAGTAATGGCAGAGTTTGCTCAGAGAGGTGGCGGATGCCTCATCCCTGGAGGCATACAAGGCCAGGCTGGATGTGGTTCTGGGCAACCTGATCTCATTGAAGATGTGCCTGCTTGTTGTAGGGGGGCTGGGCTAGAAGACCTTTGGTCCCTTCCAACTCAAACTATTCTATGATTCTATGAATTGAGTCAAGTTAATAAGATGTTCTGGGGAACATGTGGTTTAACCACACTGTAATTTGTATCTGTGGGCTGAAAATCCATTAGCGAGAGTGGATATAGACTTCTCTAGATAAAGAATCTGGATAATGACTGATATGCATATTTAAAACAGTTTATAACGACTAATTGATGGCATATGGTTTTATTTGGGAGGGTTTTTTTAGCACCTTTTTTTTTTATAAAAGAAGGGCAGTATACTTGATGAAGCATATCCTAAGGCTTTACATGTCACAGGTAATTTCATTTTAATTTTTTTTTAATCAGCCTCCTTTGAAATTCAGAAATGGGAGAGACATGAGAGAACTTAAT